TGAGTGAGCGAAATAAAAATTTTATTCTCACTCTTATTTCAATATCTTTATAAATGAAACTTAAGAATATACTTATACTTAATATAAACTTAATATAAATATTTATATCAATTCAATATTTAAATGAACGAATTTAATGGAAATGTCAATGTTCATTGGAAAGCTCTTCCAACATAAATCAAATACTTATAATTGTTTCTAAAGTATAAACGCACCATGAATGGAGTATGGTGACCCAAGGCTAGCAGTCTAAGACCTAAACCGTGAAGTATATTCACCATACCAGCGACTCCGGCATATTTGCCGAAAGCTACCACCCTCTGGCCATTTGCATCCGTGAGCTTTTCGTAGTCCAGGAGACGTATGTTTTTCTCTAGGATCGCGTCTAAGAGAGGCATATTACTCTCTTGAGCTTTAATAGTATGCGAGAAAAAACAATATGTCTTATTGGGTATCAGTTGATCCACGGGTACTTGCTTGACGCCGAATATAACGGAAGCTGAGCTGATATCTTCTTGTAACAGGGCGCCGGCCGCCTGGTAAACTTGAGCGGGATACGCCCTTCGGTTGCTGGGTTGCACAATCACCTTCACACCTGATCTGACGAGGCGACGAACATTCGCCGGGGCTAACGGTGCTCTCCTCTCCCATACTGACTGATCTTCCCGTCTTATAGCTATTATCTTACCCTTAAGATTCTAAAAAGATTTGATGCAAAAGAACGCTCAGCTAATCAGCATATTTTATTTACAGTACAATAGTTCGTTTAAAAAATCTGTCTATCTTATTGATTTTTTTTCAGATAAATTATTTTATTCGAACTATTGAGTGTTTAATACAAGCTAGAAGTAACGGAAAAAAAGAGCAAATTTTTTTTTATTCAAAGCTCGATTTCGAATTTAGAAATTAAGAAAAATTTAGTTTTTCGGACGAATTTTTGATTTTTTCCCTAATGTCTATTTGTTTATCCCGAGAATTAGCGATGTCCGATGTCGGCACAATTGATTAAACGGATCGTCACTGAAATGCCACGTGAAAGGCATTATTTTAAACGTAACTAAATGCTTACACTTATACATCTGACGTTATGGGTGAGAGCAGGAGTTGCAGTAGTCAACAGATGACGTGAATTACGTCCAGCCTTTATTAATCTTAACATCCGCATCACCTTGGTCAATGTTGAAATTTAGCGCTGTATAAAGATCACCGTTGCCAGGAAGAAGTTCCAATTCACCAGTTGAAACTAATTTGCAACGATTGTGACTGAAGTAATGCGAATCTTGTTTGTGTTTTCAAACTGTTTAAATTGTGTATTAAGTCGCGTCAACAATATACTGCTAAATCTATGCACTATACTTAATCACACGTATGTACGTGTACTGTTTGGGTCAATGAAGAAGTCAGAAAGTATTACAAAATCGTCGATAAACTCGGAGCTATGCTCTTATCGGCATCATATGACCCTCTGATCACCGTACTGGTTGTACCATTAAAAGAAGTTTATAGAAAAATCCTCGGAAAAATCCGTTTTTCTTCACGCGTATGTTTATCGCTGCCGGCTTGATAATGATGACACACACGCACCAAGAATAAATACACAATCATAAACAATAAACTTGTCAATCAACTCGTGGGACGTTATTCGCTACTCGATATTCGCTTCAACTTGAAGAGATCATGGAAAGTTGAAATGGAAGGATATTTTCTAATATAGTAAAATTATATGTATGTACAATGTATATGTATTTCTACCTGTAAAGTTATATTACAGAGAACGATATTATATAACTGAACAAACATGTGTAATCTCGAGCAACTCGAGACGGCATATGCGCACTGACATCAGTTGGATTGCGCTTTGATTGATAAATACATTTTGTTCTTGATAGTTTGCTTGGTGGGATTTATCTTTTTTAATATTTGAGTCATAATGTTGACAAGTTGCTCGGATGTGAGACCAGTTTTCTTGGATTTGAATTTTTGCAGCAACTCGGTTGTTGTCATAGGCTTGCGCATTAAATATCGCCTCACTGCATCCTCTGTGATTCCCGATTCGCTGAAAAATATAAAATATTAAAATTATAATAATCGTAATAAAAGTATAATTAATATTCTTGACCTCCACGGATGCTTTCTATATAAAGATTATCGCGAGTTTCCTCCGTATCTAGATTCATTCTTGGAATGCCAACGTTTCGCCAAAAAACAATTTAAAGAGATAATGGCTACAACATAAATAAAATATGGAAAACTATTCTCCTTAAGATTGACTGATTTCCCCTACCTCTTCCCCCCATCCCCATCTACAATTCTCTTCTTTTCTTCCAAACAAGTAGCGTAATATATAAAAAAGGAACGATCGGAGGAACAGCTCGGTATCAGGCTGCTCCTCGCTCTGATGAAGTGGACTGCAAGGTTCATGAAACGTTGGCATTCTAAGAATGGATCTAGACATGGAGGAAACCCGCAAAACGTATAATCTTTATAAAAGTATAATTGTTGCACGCTTATATCGTTTAAAATAAAAATAAAGAGAGCTGTACCTCGTTCCCGGTATATATGATGTTACTGGAACTAGATTGAAATTATCGAGTTTTAATTTTTTCGCTTGCGATAAGTCTGGAGAACCAGATTGCTTTCTCTTAAAAGAATCTGAGACACCGGACGCTGAAGGTGTCGGTGTTGCAGATCTCGAGCTGTGTGCACTGTTAGGCTTCTTATTATCCTTTTCTTTTAACGCTGTATCAGAATCTGATTCCGAATCACTAGAGAAATCGCTGGAAGAATCCTTTCCTGACGCTGATTTCTTCTGATCCTTTTTCTTGGCTTTTTTCTTCTTCTTTTTATCTTTCTTCTTATCCATTTCTTTAGAAAGTTTGTCTTTATCCTAAAACACAAAATATATTAGAAATATAAAACAAAATAGTAAATGTACATCATAACATCGATAAATGCTATTGCATTGATTAATGAAATAATTTATCATTTAAATAATGGAAAATGCAACATGGATATTGTCAATAAATGCTATAACAATATGTTACATTACTTTATCATCTTTTTCTTTTCCTTCCTCGTCTTCATCCTTATCTATTTCTCCATCTTTTTTATCTGTCTGTTCCTCCTCATCTTCGTCTTCGTCGGACACGAGCAACTTTCTCAAAGCATCTTCTTCTGCCACAGACTTAACTTCCTTCTGTGGTTCTGATTCTGATTCAGAAACAGAAGAATCAGAAATATAATCACATTCTCTTCCTTCCTCATCGCCGTCATCACTTTCCTCAAATGCTTCATCATCTGAGACATTTTTCTTCTTTTTCTTCTTTTCCAATTGAACTGGAACATTTAATTAAATTATATATTACATTTATCTATATACATATAATACATAATTAATATATATTTTCATTATATGAAACTAAATATATCTACCATATAATTAAAGATATAATTTCTTTTATTACTTTTGTCTTTCTTTTTCTTTTTTCCATCATCCTCATCTTCAGATCCTTTCTTATTCTCATCTTCATCGCTGCCTGATTCATCATCATCAGTCATCCATTCGTCCAATTCTGATATTTGCAGTTCTTTCTCCTTTTTACCAGGTCTCTTGCCTTTACCACCTTCTACTAGTTCCTCTTCATCTCCACCATCTTCATCATTTCTCAATCTCTTTCGTAACATTAATGAGAAATAATTAATTACTTTGTTCCTACGACTGAATTCCTGCTCTGCCTCTTCGGCACTGAGGGACTTGTATCTCTGGATTGGTTGAAAGTTATACCTACGAAAATTTTGACTTTTGAGTATTCACCAACAAATATATGCAATCAACAATATAAAACCTACCATTCATGTAAAGGAAAGGCTTCTATAGCACCATCAGCAGCATGCGTAAAGACATAATATGCAGCATTTTCACTGATTCCTCCTTCCCGAATACCTTTGAATTTCTTTCCAGTTTTTCCTCCTGATTTTAAAATCCATGGTTGATCCTCCGGTTTATATTTCCTACTGGTAATGCCATATTTCTTTCTTCTAGCTTCTTCTCTGGCATCACGTCCAAATTCAGATCCAGCACCAAACTTTGGCATTTCTTCTTCGATACCCTTGTACTCTTTCATATTGTTCTCCCGTTCCATTTTTACTTGGGACCATTTCGAAAAATCTACATTCAGTGTTGCATTGAATCTCATGACATTATGCTTCTTCTTACTATTTCTAAAAAAATCCGTAAATAAAATCAAAATATTATTTTATCATAATGATTTAAATGTAAAAATACAAGTAGATATTAACAATACTAACTTTGGTACTCTAATACTAAATTCCTGCACGGATGGTGCAACTGAAGACTAAAAAGAATAATATATATATAATATCACTGTAAAAATAAAATAATTATTCTAAAATAATACGTTTTTCTTTCAAACAGTAACAATTATAGTAACATAATTTACTTCACTGTTGCAGCTATCTATTAAACTTACCTTTGAAACTGCATTTGAATTCATTATTGTAATTTAATAAAAACTTTATGATTTAACACTGCATTTATGATTTAAACGAACGTATTTCTGATTTCTATAATTAACCCCAACATTAACCCTAACAAAATCTACAAACATCTGCTCGCAAATAATAAAATAATTACTGTGTTCCAAATTTACTGCCAATCAGTGTTGCCAACTCATTGAAAGCACTATAAAAAAAGGAAGAATCAGCTGTTTCTCCAGGAAGAAAGATTAAGGAGACTCAGTTTTGCGATTAATCTTCCTTCCCGATAATCCTGACGAAAATTAATCGCAGAAAAAAATCGCCTTTTTACAGGGTTCTTCTTAGATTAGCTTTCGTCTCCGAAAATAGAAGGAAGTCGATATGGTCAGCTTTTATGACGTTAAGTTACGTTTAACATTCATAACACTTCCTGTGGTCTTCCTTGCGCAGGCGACAGCATTACCAAGTTCACAAGCGTCGCGAGTGTAAAGAATCGAAACTTAACTCGAACAAACAAAATCGATCCACTTTTAGAGCCATTCCATATAACTTGCATAGTCGCATAAACGTTGCATAAAGAAAATTATCCAATCACATTTTACGCGCGTTTATATAGGAGAAATGCGATTGGATAATTTTTTTTATGCATACGTTTATGCAGCTATGCAAGTTGTGTGGATATACTAAAACGCAGCCCTAAGGCCGCAGTTTAGACTTTTGCATAACGCATAATGCATAGTGCATAAGCGAATCAACTAATCAGAATTTTTCCTTTCCTCCCATTCCATAGAAAAGAAGAATTTCGATTGGTTGATTCCCTTATGCACTATGTTTTATGCAAGAATCTGTGGCCATTATTTACGTAAGTGGTCTCCTTAGATCAGAATCAGACTACACATTGAAGAATAAGATTGAAGATTGAAAGATTGAAGTTTGACCAATCAGAACAAAAGAACCCAAAACTTCTTTGTCTTCATCATTGGTGAAATTTTAATCTTTAATCTTCAATGGATAATCTAATTCCGGCCTTAGACTTTCTTCCTGATAAGCCTATTGATATCAATCAAGTTTCTGTTATCAACAATCTGTTATCATCTCGTTTTAAAAAAATAATTCCAATAGTTAAATATTTCCTAAAGCAAACAGTGTTAACAGCACAATTCCATTATGAAATTATGTCGCATTTAGGGCTTTGTAGTGTCTTAATATGTTGCTGAGTACAGGATGCTTCAAATACGAGAATCATTATGGAATCGCGCATTTCATAATCAGCTTCATGCCGTATCAGATCTCTTTTTATAGGTACGGGATGAAATGCCACACATCTTCGCGAATCGATGAGATAATTGAAGAGCTATAAATCAAATATACATTATAAAAATCAATTTGTAAATGTTTAATTACCCAGCAAACGAGAATGGATTAAAATGAATTGAAATGGATTCAGATTTTCAGAAATATTGATTCATTGAATGTTAAAATGAATGCTTTTTATTCATTTATAGAAATTGCATGGAATATATCCCTATGTCTTTCAATCTAAAAATAATATTAGCTTTTTTTGTGCACAACACATACATTGTGAATACTGTTCAATTCAAAATTTTGAATAAGAAATGCATTTTTTCAATCCAATTGCATCCAATTAAATCCAAAAAAAGTATTCGCTATTTAAAATATTCGGATAGAAAAAAATTTCAATCATCCATTTTAATCCATTCTCGTTTACTGAGACGGATTTATTAAATCTGGGTGTTGTGTAAATGTAGTTATAGATCCAACTAATCACATTCAATTGCTCAATGAACATATTAGCAGCTTTATCCGACACAGCTGTTGTGATTGGTTCATTATGGATCGGTAGTTAAAATTAGTCAAGAATTCGATCGATTTGCAATTGTCGACAGTTTGGTATGAGTTTTATTTATATATATTTATATATATTTATATATATTTATATATATTTTCACGCAAACGATGAGCCGCGATAAGTCATGTGATCGATATTGAGATTTCTAGATTATGTATCTTACTAATAAAAATTAGACATAAAAAAAAGGCAATGAGGCAATGATTGAAACAAAGAGACGGTGCTAATTTTCCAATTTGCCGAGAAAGATTGTGAAAAAAAAAAAATTAAAACGAAGGAGTGAAACTTTGCTAAATCCACAGTCATCGATGTCGACAGTACCGGCAATAAGTTCGAAATCAATGCCGGCCGAAGCACTGTGGGTATTTTGCTTCATCATCGGTGATAACTGAGCTGAAATGGTCGTTCCCAGCTAGTAATACATTGCGCCCAGATTCAACGAGGGAAAAATAATAATTAATAAGTAAAAACAGGGATCCTTTGAATCTCAATAGGGCCGTGTATGACAATTGCTCCAAGTATGGCGCACCAACTGCTCTTCTCGGCCAGCAAGCTAGAGAGATTAGTCCTACAGTCCGCTCAGAAAGGTTATTTCGACACATTTCAGGTATCATAACCTATTCACCGCCTCTGTACACCGCCTTTGTGACTCGTGTACTCGTCACATAACATCACATAACACATCGCACCAGGACAACTGCTGACGACGTTTTCGTGCAAGAAATGACACGACGAGCATTATCGTGACGTTAATAATCGCCCGCGGTTACTGCGCGAGCGTTATCTGCGTGTCGCGTACTTCAGACGTTCCGTTGTGCAACCTTCTGCAATCGACGCATTTGCTTATCCCGTCACAGTTATGATTCGTTTTCTAAGTGTATGTCATATAATGTATTTTTTAAAAAGGATACACTCTCATGTATCTATCTTTTTCACTCATTTGTATCACAATCTGTCAACTGTCGCAATGAAACACATGGTTTACATCAGCTTTGCGATGGTTATTTGCGATTTTGTAATTGAAATATCAAGAATAATGATATAATTCTTGTTATTTTATATAAGTCATTAGAATAATAAGATTAAACTAAAATCTATTTTTTTAGCTGAGACGTCACTTATCACAACTTAAAAATAGTACGACATTATCTGCCATCGAGCAGGTACAGCAAAAATGGAGATTATTTTGTAAAGAGCCACCAAAAGGATTCGAAAAATTTTTCAAACCAGGTTTATCTCTATATGACTTTCGTTCACCTTTTAGTTTTACAGCAAATTGTATATAGAATTTCTAAAGCAATTTCATTACAGGTGAAGGTAAAAATGGTAAAAATGCTTCTAAAAAAGTAGAAGAAACAAGTAAAAAGGCTGAAACAACTAAAAAACCTCCTTTATCTTCTTCTACATCGTCCACTACATCGTCGTCTGGTTCCAAAGAGTCTAGTTTCCAATGGATATTTAAGATTTTTGGAAACAGCTCACAAGAAGGAAAATCGTTCGAAGGTGGAGATAAGGAAAAAACATTAATGATTTTGGTTGCACTTGGTGTAAGTGGTGTAATTGCATTGGTACTTGCCCAGGACTTCAATCTGAAAGAGATTACATGGAGAGAATTTATACATAAGTAAGTAAATTTTATTGCCAATGATTATGCAAGGATGATTTAAATATTAAGAGGACTTGTTATTTGTAAATACTAATCAATATTGTTAGATATATTTACACTGATAGATAGAAGTGTCTGCTTTACATATATAAAATGAAAATAATTTATGCTTATAATTATGTAATTATAATTATGTAATTACATTTTTGTTTTTCAGTTATCTAAACAAAGGTCTTGTCGAAAAATTAGAAGTAATAAATAAAAAATGGGTGCGTGTAAAACTCTTACCTGGGTATACCGTCGATGGTTCTGTAAGTTCTTAATTGATCAAGATTAGAGTTTACTTAGATTATTGATAGAATTTACTTATTTTTTAATTTCATATTGATACTTTATCTTATTAATGTTTTTTATAGGATACACTGTGGTTTAATATTGGAAGTACAGATACTTTTGAAAGAAATTTAGAAAATGCACAATTAGAATTAAACATGGGACCTGAGAATTATATTCCTGTGGTCTACAAAAACGAAGTAGAAAGTTCAAACCTTCTATCATATATTCCGCAGATTATTATGTGGGGTGAGTAATTAATTATTAATCTTATAAACTATTATAGTTACGAAGTATCTATTTTGTGTATGTGTATTTTTTGTGGCTATCATTAAAATATATTTTAGGGGTAATCATTTTCTTAATACGAAGATCAGCAGAAATAATGTCAGGTAAAGGAGGTAAAAAGGGTGGACTTTTTGGTCAAGTAATGGAATCGACTGCGAAATTAATAAATTCGAATGATATTGGTGTACGATTTAAGTGAGTAATACATACATATAAGCACATATTTCTATATTTAACATATATGCAATTCTTGATTAGTAAATTGTATATTGCTCGACATTAGAGATGTAGCTGGATGTGAAGAAGCTAAAATCGAAATCATGGAATTTGTAAATTTCCTAAAAAATCCGCAACAGTATATAGATCTTGGAGCTAAGATACCAAAGGGTGCTATGTTAACAGGTAACTAAGATTTATGTGAAAATATGTTGTATAAAATGTATATTATTCATTAGATGATAAAATGTATTTTTTTTTATCCATTTATTCATTGATCTAATCAAAACTCTAACATATCGATTGAATTTAAAGATGTTATACGTGCTGTACATATATGTCGTATTTTTTTTTAGGGCCCCCTGGCACCGGCAAAACTTTGTTAGCTAAAGCTACAGCTGGTGAAGCGAATGTACCCTTTATTACAGTATCAGGTTCGGAATTCTTGGAGATGTTTGTGGGTGTCGGTCCTTCCAGAGTTCGCGATATGTTTTCCATGGCACGAAAACATGCACCGTGTATATTATTTATTGATGAAATCGATGCAGTTGGACGAAAAAGAGGAGGTCGGAATTTTGGCGGACATTCTGAACAAGAAAATACATTGAATCAGCTCTTGGTAGAAATGGATGGTACATCGGAGTTTTAACACGAAAAGATCGAAAATTATCAAATAATCTAACATTTTTATTAAATTTTCTTTAAGGATTTAACACGACGACCAATGTGGTTGTATTAGCGGCGACTAATAGGATAGACATTCTAGACAAAGCATTGTTAAGACCTGGTAGATTTGATAGACAAATATTTGTTCCTGCTCCAGATATCAAAGGACGAGCATCCATTTTCAAAGTGCATTTAGCTCCTTTGAAAACGAAATTAGATAAAGATGAATTAGCACGAAAAATGGCATCTTTGACTCCTGGATTTACAGGTACATAATGAAAATTTTTGGAAAAATATAATGGAAAAATAAAATATTTTACATTCAATAAAAATTAGAAGAAATCTATCGTAATATTGCAACATTTTTAGGAGCAGATATTGCAAATGTTTGCAATGAAGCAGCTCTAATTGCGGCAAGAGACTTGAATAATAACATTCAACTTAAAAACTTCGAGCAAGCTATTGAGAGAGTAGTTGCTGGCCTGGAAAAAAAGACTAAAGTGTTACAACCAGAAGAGAAGAAGACAGTTGCATACCATGAAGCTGGTCATGCGATAACTGGTTGGTTTTTAGAGCATGCAGATCCACTTTTAAAGGTTACATCTTATTTATATTTCATATATTCACAATAGTCAGTACAACTTTTTGGTAACTTGTATTGATTCCCTTAGGTATCCATTATTCCACGTGGTAAAGGATTAGGATATGCTCAGTATTTGCCACGTGAGCTATATCTTTATACAAAGGAACAGTTATTCGATAGGATGTGCATGATGCTCGGTGGACGAGTATCGGAAGAAATCTTTTTCGGTCGCATTACTACAGGCGCTCAAGATGACTTACAGAAGGTATTATCATAATTAACTATATAAAAACAATAAAACACATGGTGTAATTTCTGTATCTTTTGCTTGACAAGCGATTTCAACACTGTGTCATTTAGCACCAATATTTTTACTTTTCTATATTTCGATATTTCTTTTTATTAAATTCCTTTCTGTAATTTTTAAGATTACAAAAGTTGCGTATGCACAAATTACGCAATACGGTATGAACGAGAAAATTGGAAATGTTAGTTTTGAAATGCCGAATACAGGAGAGTTGGTCTTTGACAAACCGTATTCGGAACATACCGCGCAACTTATTGATAACGAGGTTCGAGATTTGATTGAAAAGGCTCATAAGCGGACGCTAGCTCTCTTGAATGAGCATAAAGAAGATGTAATCAAGGTAGTTATGATTTTATCATCTATTTAACCCTAGAACCGCCGAAAAATGAAGCACATTCCTAGAACTGCGAAAGAGTTTAGTGTCTATATTTTTGTTTTCCTTTAATGTTATTTTTATACTTTTATATTTGCATTAATTAAGATTAATTTTAATAATTGCTATAATTGGATAATAAAATTTTATTGTACTTAATTTTACTGCATGCATTCAACAATAGTTTTGCTGTTCGCGCATACTTTTATTTTTCTTCTTCGCTGCTATGCAAGTAAACAATCGATTACTTTCGAAGCGAATTGTCGAAATTGTAAAAGATAAAAAAAATGTTTTCATAAAGTTGTAAATAGTTTCAGAAAAGAATACTTTATAATAACGATAAATATTTTTTTGTTTAATACACAATCTTTAATCACACGCACGCACGCACGCACGCACGCACGCACGCACGCACGCACGCACGCACGCACGCACGCACGCACGCACGCACGCACACACCCACCCACGCACACACACACACACACACACACACACACATTATTACTATACAATATTTCGAAATTCAACTATTAATGAAAAATTTTTTTCTATTTCTTATAATTTCGATGATATTCGTTCCGAAAGGAATTAATTTTAAAAAACCAATTTTTGACGAAGGAGTGTTTTATTCCTTAAAAGTGCGTAAGAGCACGTATAAAAAAAATGTGTCTCTTATTTTGGTCTAGATGACAATATATTATGAATTTATCAAAATTGGAAAAAATTCTTTTGTTTTGTTGTATATTGGTGGCTTTGACGATTTAAGATAAAAATAGAAATAAACTGTTTAAACATGAATAAAATTGATTAATTAATTTTTATAAATCAAACTTCTAAAATGATAAAACTTAAAAAAAATATACTTTAATCAGTACAAAAAACATAGAAGTTAATAATAATTTTTTTAACATCAGCGGAGCGAAAATGGCATTATCGACGGTTCTAGTGTTAAATAATTTTATCAAAATGAAGATTGAAATATAATTTCGTTTAATTT